TTGTCTCCACTGGAGGTTCAACAGTTGTCTCGACCGAGGGCTCGACAGTGGTCTCGACCGAGGGCTCGACAGTGGTCTCGATCGGAGGTTCAACAGTGGTCTCAACCGGAGGCTCAGCGGTGGTCTCGACCGGAGATTCAGCAGTGGTCTCGACCGGAGATTCAGCAGTGGTCTCGACTGGAGATTCAGCAGTGGTCTCGACTGGAGATTCAGCAGTGGTCTCGACCAGAGGCTCGACAGTTGTCTCCACTGGAGGTTCAGCAGTGGTCTCGGCCGAGGTTTCGACAGTGGCCTCGACCGGAGGCTCAACAGTGGCCTCGACCGGAGGCTCAACAGTGGTCTCGACCGGAGGCTCAACAGTGGTCTCGACCGGAGATTCAGCAGTGGTCTCGACCGGAGATTCAGCAGTGGTCTCGACCGGAGGATCAGCAGTGGTCTCGACCGGAGGTTCAACATTGGTCTCGACCGGAGGTTCAGCAGTGGTCTCGATCGAAGGTTCGACAGTGGTCTCGACCGAGGGTTCGACAGTGGTCTCGACCGGAGTTTCGACAGTGGTCCCGACTGGAAGTTCGACAGTGGTCCCGACTGGAAGTTCAGCAGTTGTCTCCACTGGAGGTTCAGCAGTTGTCTCCACTGAAGGTTCAGCAGTTGTCTCCACTGGAGGTTCAGCAGTTGTCTCCACTGGAGGTTCAGCAGCGGTGTCGACCGAGGGTTCGACAGTGGTCTCGACCGAGGGTTCGGCAGTGGTCTCGACCGGAGGTTCAGCAGTGGTCTCGACCGGAGGTTCAGCAGTGGTCTCGACTGAAGGTTCAGCAGTTGTCTCCACCGGAGGTTCAGCAGTTGTCTCCACTGGAGGTTCAGCAGCGGTGTCGACCAAGGGTTCGACAGTGGTCTCGAACGAGGGTTCGGCAGTGGTCTCGATCGGAGGCTCAACAGTGGTCTCAACCGCAGGCTCAGCGGTGGTCTCGACCGGAGGCTCAGAGTGGTCTCGACTGGAGATTCACCAGTCGTCTCTACCGGAGATTCAACAGTGGTCTCGACCGGAGCTCAGCAGTGGTCTCGACCGGAGCTCAACAGTGGTCTCGACCGGAGCTCAACAGTGGTCTCGACCGGAG